ATATATATAAATAGAGAGAGAAAACCATTTAAATATTTCGAATTTGAATTTCGTGAGTTTTTTTTTTTTTTTTTACAATATAATAATAATAATAATAATAATAAAGCGGTTCTATAAATAAATTGTTGTGATGACGTCATTTTAAGTTTTTTTTTGCGTAATGCAATTTATTATTATTATTTTACATTATTATTAAATTATTATTATTATTGTTGTTGTTGTTGTTGTTGTTATTATATCTTTAGGTTTTTTTGTTTTTGTTGTTGTTATTTTTTGAAGTGTGTGTGTGTGTGTGTGTGTGTGTGTGTGTGTGTGTGTGCGCGCGCTTGTGTGTGGGAGCCACGTTTTTCATTCATTTTTTTTTTTTCCGACTTGAAGTTTTCTATAATGTCCTTATTTAGAATAGTATTTTAATAAAAAAAATCAATTTATAAACAGGAAAAAAATGGGGAGAGGGGGGGCCTTTTGTTTTCCCATTCCTCTCCTAAAAAAAAAATTAACCGAATGGTTTTATTACCGTCGTTATTATTATTATTTTTTTACACGGTTATTACGTTTATCGATTTAAACATTTATTATTATTATTATTATTATTATTTAGCTGGGAGCAATTACACATGTCGTAGGGTTGTTGAATACGGTCGCCATTTTTGCGATATGAGAATCGTGCCAAATTTTTCAAAGTTTTCGATTTCGATTTGTAAATCTCGTTTGTTGTTGTTGCTGTTGTCGGTCCTCCTCATCTTTATCATGATGATAGCAGAATATCGTCCAATGTGGGCGATTTGGGTAAAATGTAAAAATTCGTAAGAAAGACGGGGGGCGGGGGCGGGGGAGGATTTAAAAAACCGCGAATTATTCGTTTTCATCCCTACCCTCGCGATTTTTTTATTTCTCTAAATCACGATGGATCGATCGGTCGTTCGTCGTTCGTTTTCGATTAATTACAATTAATTAATTAATTCGAACGAGATTAAATCGATAATCGATAATCGATTTAATCTCGTTCTCGTAAAATCGAAATTAATAATAATAATTATAGCCGGGCATATAAAAAACCTTTTTGTGTAATTTTGTGCGGTTTTTTTCACTCTTCCGGGTCGCAACGACCCCAATAACGTGCCTGAATGTATTTTCTCTCTCTCTCTCTCCCTTCCTCTTTCTCTCTTTCGATGTTATCGATTCGTAACGAAAGTTTATTGACCTTTGCAAAAAAAATTTTCCGAAAAAAAACCTTTTCCGCCATTTTTTTTTTTTGTTTTTGGCGTTAACGTTTACCGTAATTGTTTTTCCGAATGTTTCCGTATGTGTATGAATAATTTGCCGACGTTGGAAATTTTTTTCTTTTTACGTTTGTTCGTTTGTTTGTTTGTTTTGTATTATATTTTAAATAAAATAAAATAAAATAAAATAGAAAAATCGTAGGTCGAATGATTTTTACGATTTTCTACGGCGTGGGTGCTGTCGTCGTCGTCGTCGCCGCCATTTTTTTTTATTTCTCTTTACCCGACATCATAAAGAATTATTATTATTATTATTATTATTATTATTTTATTGCAGTTTTTTTTGTTTGTAAAAAAAAAAAAAAAATTCCGTTGAAATTTTCAAGGATCCTACGGGAACAACAGGAGGAGGAAAAAAAATTTTTTGTTTTGTTCCTACGCGAACGATCCGTATATCATAAACTTTTCTTTTTTTTTTTCTTATCCGGCACGTACCGTTATCGTTATCATTATTATTATCATTATTGGTTTTTAAACGGCGCATCGATTTATCGGAAAATTATCGAAAGTTTTCTTTTACTAGTCCATAGGAATCGTCCATTATGGCGGTATCCTTTTATCGGAGCTGGAAAAGTTTTTTTTTTTTTTTTTTTCTTTCCGACAATCGATATTGATTGCAATTGCGGGTTACGTGGTAGTAGTCAGTGACCTTTTGCACACAATACAATAAATGTGCGTGTGTGTGCGTGCGTGCGTGCGTGCGTGTGCACGTGTATTACGAACGAGAATAATTTCCTTTTTTGAGTAAAAAGAAATATTTCGAATCCGTGAAAATGACGATATCACAACACAAAAACACACGATTATTGTATTATTATTACTATTATTATTATCATTATTATTATTATCCACCATTAAACACGACAAGGCTACTTGTCGGAGTTTTTAAGTATTTATCCGAGGTTTCTACCCGATTCCTTAGGGACAAATACTCGAATTTCGGTGGTGCCACTTATTATAAGATAGCACCACATCAATTCTTGAAGGTCTTCCTGAGTCCGTCTTTTTCGATGGGAACGATTTGTCTCCTGAACTGGGCTCCGGTGACTAACATCTTTGGAGTGGCCAGGGTCAGAAGCAGTGAAATTCACGTTCTCGTCGAGCTGCCTCAGGTCGACAGTAGAACAAGATTTGTTTTTTGGTTCTTACTTTGTCTTGTTCTCATTTTTTTTTTTTTTTTTTTGCTCTTTTAAGCCAACAGCACGTGGCGTTCTCAGACGGTCACCCATCCAAGTTTGCACCACGCCCGATGCTGCTTAACTTCGGTGATCGTACGGGAACCGGTGTGACCAGCACGCTATGGCCGTTGGCTTCATTATTATTATTATTATTATTATTATTATTATTATTATTTTGTCGACTATGCATTAGAGAGAGAGAGAGAAAATCTTTTCCGTTTACGGATTATTTAAAAAAAAAAAACGCTTCCGGGTTTGTTTTTTTTTTTTTTTCCTATTTCTAGTTGCACGAAAAAAGAAAAAAAAAATGGAAAAATTGTTTTGTGGAAATGTGTTTGTGCGTGCGTGCGTGTGTGATTACGTTTTTATTATTATTATTATTATTATTACTCGCGATCTCTCTTCGTGGTTCTAATAGTTGGAATTTATATTATTATTATTATCGTTACTTTTTTTCGGCGGCGGCGGCGGCGTCGTCGGCGAGACACGAAAGATTCGTAAATAAATAATAAATTTGTTTTAATTGATTCCGACTGTGAAAATAATAATAATAATAATTCCGAAATTTATTATTATTATTATTTTCGTTCATTTTGGACTGGTTTGGAGTCGTCGTTCGTTTACAAAACGTGAAATTTAAATGCGGAAACAAAAAAAAAGAAAAAAAAAATTTCCCACCGCCATGTTTGGCCGTACGTTTGTCTTCGTTGTTGTCAACAAAAATTTACCCAACAAATTTCCACCCCCCTTCGCCCCTTCCCCCCGTCATTGCTAGGGTTTTACAAAGAATTCTTCGTCACCGTGCAAAATTTTCCAGGTTATTTTTCTCTGGAAAAAAAAAATAGTAATAATTCCAGATTGGGAAATCTTGTACGTCGTTCCTTGGAATGGGGGCCTCCCCACGTAAAAACGCCAAAATTTTGTTCTCGTCGAAGATTTTTTTTTAAATTTCTTTGTAACGAAAAATGATTGTTGAGGCAAACAAAAACCTGAGACGAAACAAACAATTCTCATTATCATCATTATAACATTCTAATTATCTAAACGTTCGACTGATAAGAAGATTGTCTCGTTTTCGAACCCGAATTTTTCCTTCTTAATGTTTTATTGTGCCCTTGGAATGGGGGGTCGGTTGGGGGTTAATTGGCTGGCTGGCGGGGAGGAAAAATCAGTCGAATAGAACGATTTTTTGGGGGGAAAAAATTTCCAATATTGAAAAGTTTTCTTTTTCCCCCCCGTTTTCGTTTATTAAAAAAACCGTATTTGATTCTCTCTCTCTCTCTCACACACACACACAGGTTATAAAAAATGTTAATTTGAAATTTTTTTTTTAATAGTCGTTCGTCATTGACATCAATGCCTGTAAGATCGTTTCATTGAGGTTAACGTGGAAAAAAAAAAAAAACCGTTTTAATTTTTGTTTAAAGAGAGACAGAGAGATGGGAAGAAAGAGAGAGAGAGAGAGAGAGAGAGAGAGAGAGAAGAAGAGATTTTGTCGAAATTTAATGTGCGGTATATAATAATAATAATGGAATCTTCAGGGTTTTTTTTTTACTACGTTCAAGGTCTACCGCTCCGAAATAGGATTTACGGTACAGGAAGAACCGACCCATCATCTATTTATGGATGGGCAACATCTCATGGTGTGTCGTCTGTGAATTTTCACATACGGCGAAGGACGGAAAATGGCATTTGTTGTTTGTTACCGGGATTTTTTGTTTGTTCTCATAAAATATTAATCGTAATTGTAATTAAATTGTTTGTTTTGTTTGTTTGTTTACAGGTTTTTTTAGAACACCGGGAAGAGATCGAGGTGGCTATGCTGGTCACGGCTAAAACGCACGGAGCAACTCCGTTGGTTGTAGCTTGTAGAAACGGTCATTATTACGTCGCTGAATATCTCATCCAAAGATGCAACGCAAACATTGAACAACCAGGATCAGGTATGTGATGGTGGTGGTGATGGTGGGTGGGAGAGTTTCGATCGAGGGGAGACGTACGAAGAAATTCCGATTAATTGTCTTTTCTTTTCTTGTTTAAACAGTGGTTTTTGATGGCGAGACCATAGAAGGAGCTCCTCCTCTATGGTGCGCCGCCGCTGCCGGATGCCTGGACGTCGTTAAACTTCTCGTCAAACACGGAGCATGCGTCAATAGCGTAACCAAAACGAATTCCACGCCGTTAAGAGCAGCTTGCTTCGATGGTCGTTTCGAAGTTGTTAAATTTCTCGTCGATAACGGTGCAGGTTCGATTATTATTATTATTATTATTATTATTATTATTTTACACGTCGAATAATGATAATCGAGTAAGTGAAATATGAAATCGATGGATCGATCGATTCTCGATCTCCGATGATAAATTAATTTTTAAAACCGAAGGTCGTCGTCCGCCCCCCCCCCACATTTCGTCAACGGTTGAAAATACCGAAGAAAAAATCCGCGTCCGACGCTAAAAATATTTACGGAGTTTAGAAAATTCACGAGAAAAAGAGAGAGATAGAAATAAAGACGAAGAGAGAGAGAGAAAGAGCGACGAGTCTATTTCTGGGATTTTTTTTTTTTTTTTTTTTTTTAAGAGTAAAATTTATCGTCGGGTCCGAAATCCGAATTATAAACGGGTTTTGGGGGGAACGGGATAAATCCTTTTGTAATGTTTTTTAATCAAATTTGATTTTCCGACCTTCGGGCTTTCCCGCCTCCCCCTCCCCCCCAAACGCTTCGGTATTTCCGTCGCCGCCGCCGCCGCCTACGCTTTCGCATAGAATGTGCGTTATTTATGTCAATATTAACAAGATCCAATAAAAGTTTATAAACTGAAAAGAGCCAAAACGTTTGTTTGTTTGTTTGTTCGTTTGTAGTTCATTTTTCAAAGGGGGTTTTTTTTTTTTCTTTGACGCGAAAGCTTTTCTTTTTCGATCCCAGAACGATCCCGGAAGATGTATTGGTGGTGGTGGTCACGAAAGTCGGTTTTTTTCCCCCACCCCATCCGGGAAAAGGAATTACGACGTGACATCATCATCATCATCATCATCACTACGGGAAGTTTTTTTTTTTTTTTTTTTTTTTTTTTTGCGGGCGAGACCTAACACGTCCGCATTGTGTTTGTTGCCTAACTTATGCGAAGTTGTTGTTATGTTATGTAAAGTTGTTACGAATTTAGTTTGTAAAAAAAAAAAAAAAAAAAAAATCCTTAATTAAAAACTTGAAAAACGCCAATCACGTAAAATCATGCAAGGTAATAAAAAAAAGAAAAAAAAAAAAAAAAAGTTGAAAATGAATAAATGAATTATAATTGTACGATTATTATCATTATCATTATCATTATCGTTGTTGTTACTATTAATCGCCGTGCATGTTTTTTTTTTTTTCAAAAAACATATTTTTTTTATCGCATTTCCAAACGCGGAATTGACCGAAAAGACCATCGTCTTGCATCGTTCATTAATATGTAAATAAGTTCCGAGTTGGTTGTTCCGTTAAAAAAAATTTGTTTGTTGTTGTTGTTGTTGCAGACATCGAAATAGCAAACAAACACGGTCACACATGTCTAATGATAGCATGCTACAAAAAGCATTTCAAGATTGCCAAATATCTCCTCTCGATCGGAGCGGACGTTAACCGGAAAAGTTCAAAGGGTAACACAGCACTTCATGACTGCGCGGAATCCGGTAGTTTGGAAATTCTTCAGTTGCTTATAAGTTACGGAGCGAAAATGGACGTCGATTCGTACGGTGAGTTTGAACGTTTCGTTCCTCCACCCCCCTCCCACTCACCCCAAGGGTTGTTACCACTAATCTTGTGTCTTGTGTCTCTATGCAGGAATGACGCCTCTTTTGGCCGCGAGCGTAGCCGGTCACAGACACATCGTAGAAGCTCTCATTAAACTTCCCAATTTGATATCACGTACGGAACGACTGGACGCGTTAGAATTGCTAGGAGCGACTTATATCGATAAGGAAAGAAACATGAACGCAGCGCTAGAGCTATGGAGGCGAGCCATGCACGATAGGTGAGAAAGAGAGAGACAGAGAGATGGGAAGAGGGAGAGAGAGAGAGAGAGAGAGAGAGAGAGAGATAAACGAAACTTACTATTTTTTTCAGACTACATAGTTCAAATAACAAATTACCCAAACCTCCACAAAAGCGAACGGTGGGAGCGTACGATCACGTGAGAGAAATAAACGACATGGAGAGTTTAGAAGACTTATTAGCGGATCCGGACGAAATGAGAATGCAAGCCTTAGTAATTCGCGAACGCATATTGGGCCCGGCTCATCCTGATACAAGTTATTACATAAGGTATAGGGGAGCCATTTATGCGGACGCTGGAAAGTTTAACAGGTGAGAGACACGATGTTGTCAATTCTCCTTTTTCCGTTGTTTCAAGTATAACGAATCCCTAAAAGATTAACTTTTCTCTCTCTCTCAGATGCATCGATCTTTGGAATTACGCTTTAGACATGCAGCAAAACATGATGGAACCGTTAAATCTAATGACTCAAAGCTCTCTCTTTTCTTTCACCGAACTATTCTCGTACATGTTGAGCGAAAAAAATCGGGTGAGCACGAGGAGCAGGAGGATTCCACCGGTTAGCTTTACGGACGTGGCCACGGTTTACATAAAAGCGATAAACGAAGTGAAAGTAGCCGTTCAACTACTCGAAAAGATACCCAAATACGACGGAGATTTAACTTGTTTGCATAGGGTCATTGTTATTTCCCTGCACTTGGGTTGTTTGCTCACGAAAGTCATGCCCGTCGCGACGCCCGAAGAAGAAGAATTGAAAGAAACCGTTTATAAAAGCACATATCAACTCGTACAGTTGGGAGTCACCGGAAAACACGGGAGAAGCGTTTTACACTTGGCCTGTTCGAGAGATTCCGGATTGGTTCCCAGGTAAATCCGTACCTGATCCTTTCTTTCTCTTTTTAATTCGGTTTAATTCTTTATCTCTTTGTCTTTGTCTTTCCTATACGCAGCAAATACGCAGGTTGTCAATTTCCATCCGCTCTATTAGCTCAGCTACTGTTAAAAGTTGGAGCGGATCCGAAAGCGAAAGATCACGACGGTAACACTCCGTTGCATTTGGCAGCATCCGCGGATTTCGTCGATCCCGTACTAATCACGACGCTTTTAGAAAACGGAGCTCACATAGATTCCGTTAATTCGGATAAGAAAACGATGGAATCCATATTGCGAGGACGACTTCATCCGACGATAATAAATCCGATCAAATACAAGAGCCTCGCTTGTTTGGCTGCAAACACTCTCGCGAAAAACACGAAAAGAGAATATTACGTCGACCAGATACCAAAAAGTTTAATTCCATTCGTCGAAGATCACTGTTGACACGTCACTCGTTAACGGAACAAAACAAAACAAAACAAAAACAAAAACAAAAACAAAAAAAGAAAAAAATGAATAATTTGCGCGCTCGTAAATAAATGATTCGTTTCACGTCAATTTTATTCCTCCTATCAATCATCGTTATTATTATCGTTATTATTATTATCATTATCATTATTATTATTATCATCATCATATTGTTTCGTATCATTATTGAAAAAAAAAAAAAAAAAAAAAAAAAAAATTACGCAAAATTTTAATTAATATTTTTTTTTAAAGCGATCAAAATATATTTTTATAAGTATTATTATTATTATTATTAACCGTTCGTATTTTTATTGTTGTTTATTATCATTATTATTATTATTTATTTTTATATATATATATATATATATTTTTTTTTTTTTCACTTTCATTTTTTTCTTTTTTTTTTTTTTTTTGGCGAAAATATCGATAAAACGAAAATAAAAAAATAAAAATGAACACGCACGTACGCACGCACTCACGGACACGCACGTCGCGAATTTCGAAATTCACCGCTTTTGTTAGCAATAAATAAAAAATTTTAAATAAATAAAAAATAATAATGATAATAATAATAATAAATAACCTTTTTTTTCGGTTGTAAAATTGAGCACATTTGTTTTAAAAAAAACGTTGCCGCGTGTGCACGTGCGCACGTGGGTAAAAAAACAACTCATCGTTAAAACACAAAATAGCAAACCACCACCAGGAAACGTTAAAAAAAAAAAAAAAAATAGATCTATAAATATATATATAAATAAAAATACATAAATAAAAATAAAAATTTTTTTACAACCGCGTTATCATTATTATTCATTTATTTATTTATTTTTCCGCCCGCCCCCTTCGCCTCCCCCTTTCCCTCCCTCTCCCTACCTTAACGGATACGAACCGAATTCGTTTTATAAATAAGCTAAATAAAATTTTAAAAAAAATTAATAAAAATAATAATAATGATAATAATAAACAAGAAGGGTAGGACCCGTTGACGATAAACCTTACCCTTCCTACCCCCTCCTCTTCCACCCCCCGAAAATTTTGATTATACCTCCGCCTCTTTCCACCAACCCGACCTCACAAATCAATCAATTTTTATTTTTTTTCGTTTCATAATGCGTATAATAATTCCCGCAATTGTAAAACTTGAAAACGATTGATTGATTGATTGATTGATTTATCGATCGATAATTTAATAATAATAATAATAATAATAGAGGAATAAAAGATAAATAAAAAAATATTAAATTTATTCATACGTAAATTGAGACAGAGTCGTCGAAACTTTTTCCCCATTTCCGATCCGATTTCCAATTCGTTACCAATCACTTTTTCTTTCACCTGAAAAAAAATACATAAATAAATAAATAATAATAATAATGATGATGATGATGATGATGATGATGATGATGATGATAATTAAAAACGTTCTCCCAGAGTTTTTCTCCATAAAAAAAAAAAAAAAAAAGTTAATTCAAGAGAAAATTATTATTTTAAAAAAAAAAAATTAATAATCTTACCTGGAAAAAAAAAATCTCCGACATTTTCCACCATCGAAATTTTCCAAAAAAAAAAAAAGGGAAATCGATCCATTTTCTTTTTCTTTTTTTTTTTTTTTAATCTGAAATTAAAAATTAACCATCGGTAAAATTCCTTTTGTGAATTTCCATTCTACGAAATTTTAAATTTAAAAAAAAAAAAACGCGCGCCATTTTTATTTTAAAAAAACAAAAATTTCCGTTTAATAATAACGTTTACAATTTGTTGTTGTTTTTTTTTTTTTTGTTAATTTCCGGTTTTCTTTATTCATAAACAAAAAAAAACGGATGTACCGGAACCGGAACACCTTATTCGAGCATTAATAATAAAAAAAAAAAAAAAAAAAAAAGTTTACTTACAAAAAAAATGGAAAAACATTTTCACAATCAATCCCAATCCTTTTTTCCGACAACAACAACAACAACCAGACAGACTCCAATGAGGAATGTTAAACTTTTCATCCACTCTGACACGTAGACAGAGACAACATTTTCTTTTTCTTCCGGAAAATTTTTTTTCCTTTTCCTCGAAAAATTATTCACGCCGTGAATTTCATTTCACACAAGCTAAAAAGAAACAAAAAATTAAAAAAAAGTAAAAAAAAGTGAAAAAAACATTTTTTTTTTTTTAAATTTAAAAAAATGACAAATGACCCCACAAGCAAATAATGACCCAGGATAAAAAATAAAATAAATAAAATCGACTGGAAAATTCCATAAAGAGAAAAAAAAAAAATTTCCTAAAACTGGACAACAAACTTGAACAAAATAACAATGTCCAGATAGATCTCTCCAAACTGTCCAGTGCGAATCTTTCTCTATCTTTTTCACGCACGCACGCATTCTCTCTCTCTCTCTCTCCTTTTACCCTTTGCACATCACAATCATTTTTATTTTGAAGCCTTTTCCCCTCCCATCCCCTCTCCCACCCCGTGAAACCCTTAGCAAAATAGACAAAATGTATAAAAAAAAAAAAAAAAAAAAAAATTTACAACTTTGAGGAGGAAATCGAGGGAGTAATGAAGACAAATTATTTACCTTTGAGGAATCAAATTTTTTTTTAGATATCTCAGTTTCAGTGCATCCTCAACGGTCAATCACAGCCGGAATCTCCTTCGAATAAGCCGATAACAAGCCGACATTTTTTTTTTTTCTCTCTCTCTCTCTTTCTCTCTCCCCCATCATCAGCTCCATCGCCTTCCTAGACTCATCAGCTATATATAGACTTGATGAACGCAAACTTTTTTTTTTTTTTTTTTTTTTTTTTTTTTACACCAGCATTTGGTGACAACTTCCTCCGTTGTAACTGACTCAAAAATTGAAGACACAAAAATAATAATACTGAAGGAAAGTCCCCCTACATTTTAGCATGATAATAATAATAATCATGATGATTATGATAACAAAAAAAAAAAAAACAAACAAAAAACTTTCCAGGACGTTCCAGGGAAAAGTTTTTTTTTCACACTCACAATACCTTTTATTATTATTATTATTATTTTTTAAACACAATCGACAAACCGAAAATTATGTAAACCGGTTATTAACTGATTGATTGATTGATTGACTGCATTTTTTTTTTTTTTTTTTAACAAAACAAACGAAATTTAATCTAATAGGTCCAGCTGAATAAATCGATACAATTTTTTTTCTTCTTTTTTTTCAGGTTCTCTTCGTTTAACCTTTGCCCTCGACACTAATAGACGAACAAAATTTTTTTGCATTTTTATTCATAAAAATTACAATAATAATACAAAACAAACAATCAATCATTTATTCTCTCGTCCAAAAAAAAAAAAAAAAAAAAAACAATTAACAATTTTATCATCCCGTTAACCATTCTTACCAACTTAAATAAACTTACCCCAAGGTTTTTCTTTTTCTTTTAATTTAAAAAAAAAAAAAAAAAAACCACCCTTCTCATCGTCGACAATTCCTCTTCGTCCCCTTGTTTTCAAAGAACACTCGTTACCTTGGTTGGTGCCAAAACATTACCTCTTTCTCTCTCTCTCTTTCCCTCTTTCCGATGCCAATTGATCAATCCGGTATATCATTATTATTACCACCAGCATCGTTACCAGTATCATCATCATCATCATCATCACCACCACCGTTACCACTGTACACTTCACAAAATTTCATTGAAACCAATAAAAAACAAAAACCTTAAAAACAAAACAAATTCCAAATCGAAAATATTATTATTTTTAATGACGCGAATTTTCTTTTCTTTTCTTTTCAGGTTCGAATTCATTCATTTTGGTAACAAACAAAAAATTATTATTATTATTATTATTATTATTATGTCGCAACGAATCGACAAACCGAATACAAATTAACGCACTTGATCAAAAAAAAAAAAAAAAAATATTATTATTATCACCACCACCACCACAAAATTATTTTTCCTCCTTTCCTCTTTTCCTTTCTTTTATTTTCTCGGTGACCGTCCGGTGGTTTTTCCTTCAACCGGATTTTCCTTCATCCGTTTTTATTTTTCCGGCTTTGTACAAAAGTCAATCACAATCAAAATTGAAACATTTCTTCATTTTTCCTTCTTTCTGTCGCAAAACATTACCTCCAAAATTAATTTCTTTTTCTTTTTTTTTTTTTTTTTTTTTTCCAGTATCATCACCGCCGCTGACGACGACGACGACGACGACAACGAACAAACAACTTAATAATAATAATAATAATAATAATAAAAAAAGAATTTGTTTTTGTTTTGAATCAATATTTTTTATTCGACAAGGATTTATGTTAGCTACATCATCAATAAGCAGTAACAAATTCAACAATGACAACAACAATGACAACAACAATGACAACTTCCTACTACTCCCCACTTATTTTCTCTTTTCTTTTTTCTTTCTTTCCTTTTCTTAAACTTCTTCCGTGTGAATTAAAAAAAAAAAAATAATAATAATAAAAAAAAGACAAATAAATGACAAAATAATCGACAGACACCTTTCCAATATAGAAATAAAATAAAAAATAAAATAAAATAAAAATTAAAAACAAATCGTGAACCTTCTCGTGAAATTCTTTATCATCGCTGATAACTACTACTATTATTATTATTATTATTATTATTATTATTATTACTATTATCACTACAACTACTACTCTTACCACTACAACTATTATTAAACCCTTCAAAAAAACGTTTGTTTTTGTTACAATTTAAAGAGAGAAAAAAATCGAACAAACAAACACGTTTAAAAATTATAAATTATTCTTCTCTCCTGTCGTCCATATTTAATTAATTAATTAATTAATTAATTAACTAATTTTTCCATCCTTGAAATCGAATTAATAAAAATCGGCCAACTCCAAATAAAAAATAAAAAAAAAATAATTAACGACAATGAAATTCATTAAAATTTATCTTTAATTTTCCAAATTATTAAAAAAAAAAAAAAAAAAAAACTATTCATTGTATATAAAACTACAAAATCCAATTTTTTCTTTCTTTCTCTATTTTATACCGACAAATTAACAAAGTGTCAAATTATAAAATTAAAAATTTTTTACGATCAATAGTAATCGTTTTTCTTTTAAACAAAACGACAAAACCCTTGAACACACAAAAAAATTATTATTATTATTATTATTATTATTTTTTTTTTTTTTTCTTTTTTTTTTTTCTCTCATTTTTCTTCTTTTTTTTTTTATTCTTTTTTCTTTTCTTTTCTTTTTTTTTAAACCCCTACGAACCCCCCCCCCGTTATAAAAAATTTTGTTTCCCCCAAAAGCGACAAACAACCAATAATGACAATCTTATTATTATTATTATTATTATTATTAAATTTTTTACTATCCAGAAAAACCAAAAAAAAAAAAAAACAAACGACGACGACGAAATTTTTTTTTTTTTAGCAGATTAAATTCCTATGTAAAAAAAAAAAAAAAAAAAAAAAAAAAAAAAAAATTACACACACTCATTTAAACTTAAATAATAATAATAATAGTCCTTAAAATAAAAAATTAAATAAAAAAGAACGACAGGCGTTTATAGGAAGCCTCTCTCTCTCTCTCTCCGAATTTCACAAAAAAAAAATTAAAAACTACAATTTGAAATAAATCTGCTTTTCTCATTTTCCCCTTTTTTTTTCCCCTTTTCCCTTTTTTTCCCTCTTCCTCTATTTTCTCCCCTTCTTCACTCTCTTTCCAAAACAAACGAATTGTCGTCAAAAAATGATTTTCCCTTTTTTTTTTTTTAATAATAATTAACCAAACAATACAACCGATGTCATCGTGATCATCATCATCATCACCCCCTTAAATTCTTAATTATTATTATTATTTTTTTTTTGTTTGTTCTAATCAATCAATCATTTTTTTTTTTTTTTTAATTATATAAAAGGAGTTGACCTAATTTTTTTCATCATACCTTTTTTTTTTTTTTTTTGTTTTGTTTTTTTGTTTTGTTTTGTTTTGTTTTTGGGTTCAATTGTTTTGTTTTCATTAAAATAAGCGAACGTCTATGTTTTGACCATCGATACGAGAATTATCCATTAAAGCTATGAATTAATTATGTTAAGAAAATTATTAATTAATTGAAAAGAGTTATTTAAAAAACTCATGACAAATCTCGTTGAGAAATGTAAATAATAATAATAATGATTATTGCTTTTAATAAATATTTGTTTTTGTTTTTTTAAAGGATACAGACAGCACGGTGAGCTTCCCACTCAGATGCAAATCGAATCAAACCCAATTTCCCTCTCATTTCGGCAAATTTTATGTTTCCAACATCGCGAAATTTGTCTTTCAAATTTTGCCACGTAAAATTATGTGGTAACTAAAAATATTGTTTTATGGAATAAGTCAAACGGTAAGTAAAAGTTTTAAAAAATTTTCTTTTTGTAAATAAAAAAAATACTCACGTTGTCTACAATAACTGTATCTGAGGATTTAGGTCCACCGCTAGACATGATGTTATTTCGAGCGGATGCAGCCCCGAAATTAGAATTTGTTCCCAGGGATCTTAAATCTCTTTCCCCGAATCCATCTCTGTTGGGAGCTGGAAAAAAAAAAAAAAAGAGAGAGGGGGAAAAAAAATTAATTGTAACTCTGTAAGAATACGATGACGAAAATAATTAATGATAAATATATTAATTTTTAATATTCTAACCCTGATTACCAAGGCCTGTATTTCCAGCATTAGATCCCAATGAAGAATTTAAGTTATTTTGATTAACCAAATTCCCACCTAATCCAGCTAGATTGCTTAAAGCTAAATCTCTGGCTGTCAAATCATTGGTGGTTCTAGCTAATAAGTCAAGATTTCCAGCTGGACCAAGAAGAGAATTGTTACCTGTATTCAATGCTGCTGCAGCATGTAAAGCAGCAGCTTGTTGTTGAAGACCTATTAAAAATAATTATGAAAAAACAACCTCTAAAAAATTTTAATTTACATTAATAAATCAATTACCGAGTGGTGGTACGGCAGCGGCAGCGGACAATGCAGCAGCAGCAGTTAAATTATTAAAACTGTTGTGACTCTGCAGCGAATTAAGATTATTTCCAACCGATGCTAAACTGGGAAGATTTTTAGCTATGTCTCGTAAAGGAGCTCCATTGGCACCTAATCCCATTCCAATATTGTGAAGACCTTCCGGTAGTCTGGAATTGGTGTCCAAGGGATCAACACGATCCATTCTCACAGTTAGCCTCCTATCGTAAAGTGGTTGATTATGCAACATAGCTATATAATAAGTTCATCAAGGAAAAATCGTAAAACTGTGCTTCAAATTGAAAATGAGATAAAAACTAAAATATTCTTTTTTTTTTTTAGAAATTTCCATTTAAGATGCTTATTTCAATTAAACAATTAAATAAAGGATACAAATAGCTTGTACTGATTCAACTGGATGGTCATATTCTACCACAGCAAATCCCCTAGATTTCCCATCCGAGTCCAAAGACAACTCAACATCTCGAACTTTACCAGCTAATCTAAAAACTTCCCTCAATTTTTTCTCAGTTACTTTGTAATCGAGCTGAATCACAGAGAAGAAAAACTCACGTTATTTATGATTTACAGAATCAAAAACAAGAATTACAGATAAAGAATAACTCACATTAGCAACAAAGACTCTGCAAACCAAAGGAGGTGCAATACCGAGACCTTCAAGAAAGCTAGGTGACAAACCGTATGTTTCACCCCAAGTGTAAGGTTTAGAACTAGGTAAATCTCTACCACCTTCCCATCTATCTTCTCTCTCGCGATCCCTTCCACCTCTCATTGAACCATACCGATCTCTAGCTGTTCCATTGTCCTTTGAATAAAACAAGCTTACATTAACACAATGGCAACCTAACCAAACGATCTTCCATATATAATTACGATGTTTACCTCTTTAACAATTATTTTTCTACCATCAATATCATATCTGTGTAATTTCTCAATGGCTTTTTTTACTGATTCGGGTAATTCAAATTCCACAATACCACAACCTTTTGATTTATCATTTTCGTCGCTAAACAATTCTACAAATGCCACTTCACCAATTTCTTTTCTGAATAAATCTTTCAGATCTTGCCATCGATAATCGTAAGGTAAGTTAGATACGAAAACCCTACAATCACTTCGACTGGATCTTGATCTTATAGGAGAGCGATCTCTATCACCAGGTCTTCTTTCACCCATTCCTCCTCTGCCATCCCGGCGATTTCTATCTCTAGCCCGGTCATTCATGTTTCCTCTAAAGTTAAGTTTCAAAAATGTTTTTTTCGAAAATTTCAATAATATAAAATCAGTAGAGTCTAATATTTACCTTGGAAGTGTATTATCACTTGACATAACACAACAAATACTAATTATTATATGTTTATGGCAAATGACGCTTTTAAAACAAAATGGCTTCCGTTATCTGTAGAATAACCATTTGAAATTGAAACAAATTTAAAACTTTAGAATAAAAATAAAGTTTTTATTTTATTTTAAAAGGATAAAAATAACGTATTTAAAAATTTTACTTTTTAATTTTAATAAAATATAAAATAAAAATTTTCAAAAGTGTAAAAGTGTATTTGTGAAGAATACCTCAATAACTACAGCAGTACAAATAGCAATACTTGGCTACCCAATCACTAACTTTATAATAAATCAAACTTTTTACACATTAAAGAATAAAAGGATACATAAAATTTCAAAAATACTTGAGTAACATTTACTAAACGTTTTATTTTATATATAAATTCATTTAATTAACAATAATTGCCAGTAACAATTAAAAATATCTTAAAATTATCATTTAAAACAATCCACCCATATTACAATAACAAAACCAGATAGTTTTTACAATTCAATAATAATAATAATTTTTTATATGTAATCCTTATAATATATATTCGCCTGATTAAATATAAATTTCCAACGGAAAAAATTTCATTTTTTTTTTTTTTTTTTTATAAAAATACAAACAAAATATTTTATTTAGTAAAAATCATCATTATCAATTATTTTTTTATTATATATATATATATATAATTTATTTATTGTTTTACTTATATAAAATAAATTTAATTAAATTAATGTGAAATTTTAACGGATATGTATATCTCAACCATCATTATTAACATTGACAAAATAAAAAAAAATAAAAAAAAAAAATGAATGAAAAAGAAAGGTAAGTTATGCAACATTGGAATGAAGAGTCATCATTTATCGACCTTTTCCTCCGCACAGTGTTTTAGCTTATTATCAGTAAGGCAACACTGTATGTGTTTTTTTTTTCTTCGTTTTTGATATTAGGTTTTAACTATTTTTTTTTTTTCCCTAATCTCCTCAGGTACCCTACATATATATGTAAACCGATTAAAATTTTTCCCTCTACCCCGTAATTTAATAATAATAATAATTTTTTTTTTTTTTACGTAATTATATCCATTTTTTTTATTAGAATTAATTTTATTTTAAATAAAAAAATTAATGTTTATAATAAATAAGAAATGCTGTCGAATAATAATAATAATAATTGAGTAAAATTTTCACATCCCTTTAAAAAAAAAATTTTTTTTTTTAAATGAAAATTTAAACGGCTTTAATTTTAATTTTTTTTTTATTACGATGAACAATTAAAATTTTTAATAAAAAATAAAATAAATAACAACAAATTGTTAATGTTTAAACAAAAAAAAAAAAAAAATAACAACAAAAAAAGAAAAAGATTGTTTAGTTTATTTGAAAAAAAATGCCACATTAAGCATTTTTTAATAATTTAATTTTTTTTTTTTAAATAAAATCTTTATTATTAGACATCATCATTATTATTAGTATTATTATTATTACGTATAACATTGTGGAAAATGGGGTTTTCCCAAATTTTTTTAAATTGAAACTTATTAAAAAAAAAAAAAAATTGTTAAATTTATAATGGGCGAAATATTTTTTTTTTTTAATTTAAATAATTATTATCATTATTATTCGACGGTATTTATTAAAAATAAACTTTACCCCCCCTCCCAATTATTCCCTCTTCCCACCCCCCCCAAAAAAAAAATCGTACGAAAGAAAGAAAAAAAAAATTAATTAATTAATACGTTAGAGGAAAATTCACACTCGCCCCATCGTCGCGTTTATCTAATAATAATAATAATAATAATAATAATAATAATAAAATAGAAAAAATTATTAATAAATTATGTATTAATAAGGTAACATAAATCATCATAGATATGTGTGTTGAAAAATTTATCGAATTATTTATTATTATTATTATTAAACATATCATTCATAAATTTTTAATTATTATGCAATTTAAAAAATTTTTATTTCTTTATTTATTTATTTTACGTCACTCTTTTATTTATTTATTATTATTAACTATTCTTTCGATGGATTTATTTTATTAACTTTTTTTTTTTTTTTTTACAACAACCGAATATATTTAAAAATAAATAAAAATTAATTATTTTATCCTAACAAGAGTTATTAAAAACGATTAATAATTTTTTGTAAATTACGACGTGTAAAACAATTGTCGTGGAAGGAAATACAAAAATAATAATAATAATAATAATAAGCTGGACTCGTACCAAACGAACGATGTCAATGACCCTAATGCCCTTTTTCATCAGATATAACGTTTACAAACCTATGCCAAAAAAAAAAAAATGTTTTTGTTAGCTTATGCACGAAAGAAACATGAGCATTTTTTTTTTTTTTTTTTTTTTTGAAATATTCCCGGTTTTGTTTTATTTTTAGATCAACATATATATATATATATATATATATATATATATATAACTAACCCCAATAAAATTTTTGACCAGTATATTGGCCAAAAAAAATCATTATTATTATTATTATTATTATTATTATTATTATTATTATTATTAATACGGTGGTAATTAAAAAAAAATCGTTATGATTTTCTTTTTTTGGGGAAAATTTTTTCTGGACAAAAAAAATTATTTTTTTGGGAAAATTATCATTATCACGATGGTTCGTTTTGTATATGAAACGAAAAGGAAATGAAAAGAATGTGGAATTTCCGGTAAATTTAAATTAAAAAAAAAAAAAAAATTCTAGAATGAATGAATGAATGAATGAATTATTCTGTAAGGCAAAAAAAATAAAAAAATTTTCTGTTTTGTTTTTGTGTTTTTATTTGTTTTTTTTTTTTTTTTTTTGAAAATCAAGCGATTGGGGTTAATATTAATATTAATAATAATAATAGTAATAATGATAATAATAATAATAATAATAAACTATAAATATCTATATTTCATTGACGACAAAATATATTTTTAGTTATATGACCAACGCACTTTTCTTTTTTTTTTTTTTTCGTCCCTGTAATTTTTTTTTTTTTTTTTTTTTTCAATTTAATAAAAAATTTATTTATTTATTTATATTGAATATTTAAATAATTTTTGAAAATTATTATTATTATTATTTATGTATTTCATTAGATAATTTTAAACCGTTAAATTTTTACTACAAGTAAAGAAATTATCATTTTCACCAAAAGAAAGTATTATTATTTTCATTTTAAAAAAATATGAGGGGGGAGGGAGAGGGAGAGGGAGAGGGGAATTTAATAACGACGTCATTAAATTTTCTTCCTTGTTTACTATTAAATATTTATATATATAAATATATTTATTTATTGTTATTTTAATATTATGATGGTAAAAATGTTACATGCATAATGGTCAAGTGTACATTAATTTTCTTTTTTTTTTTTTTTTATTAATTATTATTATTATTATCTTTTAGATTAAATTATAATATCGTAGAATGAAATTAATGTGAAAGAAGAAAAAACAATAACAACAACCACCACCACCACCGCCGCCATTATCAGGTAATTTATTTATTCAGCGTAGCATTATAAAGTGAAATGCTAACACACTTGACCAGAGTTGTACATAACACGCCTTTACGACGATGATGATGATGATGATGGTCAAATTAAGAATTTATGAATGAATTTTTTTTTTTTTACATTTAACATATACGTATTGTAAACGTTAGGAAAAATTTTCTAATGGAAAAATTTAAATTTTTGGAAAAGTTTAAAATAATATTTATTTTAATAATCAACCTGAAATTACGATGATGATGATGATGAAGAAAAAAAAAGAAAAAGAAAAAGACGCACACTTGACGACAGCTGTACCAAAAGACCTTGGAAATCGGACTACTAATCTCAATGCATGGGTCGCTATAGTCTGTGTGACGTCAAAATGGGAGGGTTTTAAGCTATTGTTTCGACGTTTAAATAAATTTGATTGGTCGAAAACTTACGTCGGTGGCCATTTGCAATATGACTCACAATCGAAAGAAAAACTGGTTTGGTTTAATTGTACCCGTGTATTGAGATTATCCGACATTTCCCTCGGTTCTCATAGCGGAGGGACATACAAATAGTCTGTTTTAAACTTAATAAAAATAAAAAAAAATAAGTTAAAAAAAAAAACGGTATTGAAAATAATATAATGATTAAAGAAAAGCATAAAAAAAAATAACATCATGTTTTTAATTACGATTCGATATTTTACGCGTAAACAAATTTATTTAATATTGCTTTTCCAGTAATAAGTGTGTTTACTCCAGTTAAGTTATTTTTTTTTTTTTTTTGTTTAATTTCAAAGTTACTGTAGTGCCAAAGACTGGTAAATTTCCTTTGCACAAAACATGGCTGCACTAGGATTTGAACAGGGTAAGTTTTATTATTCATATTATTTATTATAATATGTAAATAAATTGCCGCCGAAACAAGAAAAAAAAAAAAAAAAAAAAATTCTATTTAAAACGATGTCATTAAACAGCTGATTGTATACACTTGATTAATTCATATTTTTAATAAAACAATTTCATGTTTAAATTTTTTTTTTTTTTTTTTTTTACATGGACACCAAACGTACAGACATTTATTTATTGATAACAATATATATTTTTCCGCGGCTTTTGTCGTTTTATTTTTAAACAAATTTTGGTTAGAAATTTTCATGTCTTCGTTTCGATAGAATCTTTTTTCTTAATTAATATGATATATTATTTTTTGGAATTCTCAATTCTTATTATCATTAATATCAAAATGTTGTCATGTTTTATGTTGATTTTTTTTTTTCTTTTTACATTTTAATTAATTTAATTTCTAAGTTTGTTTTATACAATGTACTTCATCCATCAGCAAAGTGTAATCAAATAATAATAATAATATTAGTATTACTTTTTTATGTCAC